ATTATAGTTTGACTGTTTCACAAAAAAAAAAAATCAGCTTGAAATACAAATTAAAAAGCCCATTAATTAATGCAATTTCTTTTCTGTTGACAAATTTCCAATTAAAATTGGGTCATATTGTATTTTGTTCCATTTTCCTATAGAATAAAGCACTTAATTTTCCATTCTGTTAAAATGTATTTTGTCATCTTTTAGTACCACACTAGATGACCTTAAAGCTAACAGAAATTGACTAAAAGCCACAAAATATTTGATATTAAGTCTTCAAGTCTTCAGGTCTAAAATCAACACAAGACATCTTTTACAATAACTTTAAAATTTACAATAAAAAAAAAAAGAAAATTTGACACTTTTATATTTGCGAGTCAACAGCTACATATTCTAATTAAAAGACTTGCCATTGTAAATATCTTAAAGTCAACATAAAATCAAATAAGACCCATTTTTACTTTAGATGCACAATCCTGGAACAATTAATCTATGCATTTTATTCTTATTTGGAATAAATGAAGAAAACATTTATTAAAATGTATTGCTCTGCCCTTGCAATGAACCTTCAGCTGATTTCATGGCTTCATTTTGGTGTTCAGCACCCAATTTTCACAATCCTATCACTTTTAGATGGTTAAAAGCATATGAATATTGAAGTAAAATGGGTTGCAAACTGAGTTGCATGTTGACTTTACAACAGAGAAAATGGTATTAGTGCCATTTATTGATTAGGTCACAGGCTCACAGCACAGAAAACAGAGACTCATGAGCTGAATACCAAATGAGAGTCTGCTCTCTGCCAGATAAAATTAGAATAAAATTTATGATTTTCCCCTTTAAATATGTAAATATAAACATAAATACATATTATCTGAATAAATATTGTGTAAATAATTTTCTGTAGCCATTGCTCTCTAGATAGTGGTATTAGATTCAACAGTGTTATGGTTATTTCAATCAATATCTAATTCAATACTTTAGAGAAGTTCCCCGTTATCTGAGGGTTAGTAAGATCAGGCAACACTTTTGTGGAGTTCATAATAAGCTATATTCTTAACTTCGTTGCCTTGCTTGTCAAGTCAAACTGAAGTGCAATTTTGTGCTTTTAACAGTCAGCACCGTTCTCTTTCATATCCTGACCTGCGTAAAGCGTTTTCACAAACGTGAGGTTCATCTTAACTAGAAGAGATACGTTTCTAAGCACTGGGAATAATCGCTGTGACGTCACACAAATGCTAATCTCTGTTGGCCAGCACTGATTAGTTAATTCCTTCATTTAAATGATCATTGATAAATGAATGATAAAAGTTCCTCATTATAATAGTGATTTTTATTTCGTATAAACATCAGATTATGTACTAATTGGCATTGATTGCCCTTTTTCAAGTGTTTAACACTTTATTAGCAAGAAGACTGTGGGAGTGCCTGGCTGGCTTCTTACTTCTTTTGTAATAAAGCATTATTTTCTGACACTAGTTTCATCAATAAATGATCTCAAATCACATCTCAATTGACAGAAATGAAATGAAGTGAAGAGCAAATGGAGCCAAAGTCTCCTGCTTCTCATTTTTTTTTCTCGTGAGAAAAAGACAGTAACCTCACATCGTCTCTATAGTTTCAGAAGAGATCTCAATGTGCTCCAATTTGCCAAGATACAAACGTTTGAAATCCAAATGTATTCTAACCAACTGATCTAAGCAGTATGTCAACAGTTGAGGTATGTCTTGTTTTTTTTATTTCCTCCATGGAGAAACATCTGAGACAGATTTGTTGTAGTCCATTGAGCAATGAAAAGCGCTTTATATTAAAAAGACCCGCTTGCTGTTTTAGCAGTCTACATTCTGGAAAGAGAAACTGGAAGGTTTTCTCTGCTTACCACTATTACAAATCCTAAATCCACATCCAATCCCCACAGAAACATCTTTCCAGCTCTCTCAGCAGACTAGAGATAAGAGGAATCTAGCAACATTCCAACTGGTTTATAGATTACATGTAATCGGAAAAGGACAAAATAGGACAGAAAAGATCTCTAACCTCTCTAGATTAAAGGAAAAACATCTGTAAGTTTAAACCACTTTTATAATTGCAAAAGAGCAATTACACATACGTATAAGCATTTTTTATGAATTAATTTGCTTTGAAAGCACTCAGTTTATCACATTTTTATTGAGCATGTAATCACATCAGAGATGCACTTTGCAACTGTCTCAAATCCTTGGATACTTTTGTACTTTGGCTCCATTCTAGACATAGCGGCGCAGCTATATCTGAATCACTTTTGACATTTGTTATATTTTAAAAACAAAAATTATCAGTTGTTTTTCCGAAGAAGCACTATAGCTTACTAAACGCTAAAATACTAAAAACTGTACTAAATCTTACCTTACTAAAAACAATGCAGTTTAATAGATAAGCATCCTGAACAAGTATCAAATTGTGTTTAAATGAAGCATTAGAACTAGATATAAACGACATAATGGCCAGATTGATTACAATTTTGAAATGTAAATGAAATAATCCAACAACCAGTTTCAAAATGTACTTATAACAATTACATTTTTAAAATATATTTTCTGTCTACAAATTGTGTAGTACTCGTCAAAGTATGATAGACTGACAGCAAGCCTGTACTGAAGCAGGCATCTCTAACTACATTCTTTAACATAATCTCACTTTAGAAGTGATGAAAGACACCCTTCAGCTTTGCCCAGTTGAACTGAACACATTATGTGGATCATTGAGTAAGATAACGGCACTTTTCATACATAGAGCAGCTATAATGACAGCTCTGGGGTACAGCTCAATTACTTACAATTACCTCTTACTAAATTCTTATTGCCTTATCAAAGCTAAATAAATATCACAAGCTGTTTCCTGGACACAGATCAGCTATTGTCTAATGATAATTCAACACTGAGTCTAAGCTTTGTAAAGATCATAACGGGTTCAGAAGACCCCATATAGGAGAGCTATATGAGCGGCGAGCATGACAAATCTTTCATTTTTTTGAGTGAACTGTTTCTTTAAAATTCTGGATGTGAGATTACTTGAAGCGTCTAATCTGAGTGAATTTCAGGGACTCAGCAGACTTTATGCAATATGCTCTAAAATGAATGATAAAAATGTCTAGCTGCTCTTAAAACTTAAAAGGGTTCGTTGACTAAACATTTTTGTTACTTGAAATAAAATAAACATGAGCTGAAATAAAAGAAAATATAAAACACTATTTTTTTCATTCATTTTTTTTCAATTCATTAAACATTTATAAATTAAAATGCAAAACTGTATAGACATTTAAAAACAAAACTAATAAAAAAGACAAAAATGCATAAAATCAAGAAATTAAAGTGAAAACAGAAAATATAAAAATAAAATCTAATTCAAATATTTACAAAAATTATAACAGTATATCAATGATACTGAAAGAACACTAAATCTTAATCATTATCGGATATTTACAGGTTCCTGACCTAGTGCAAAAGTATATGCGTATAAGCAAGCATATTCATCATCTTTGATTAGTCTATTTAAAAAATATATGCTACTATCATTTGCATCCTCTCCAATTATATAAAACAACCTACTGTAGAGGCTAAAACAACAATCACATTTCTCATGTTATTATAAGTGCATCAACATCATGCAACCTGTTTGTAGACAAACTCGTTTTGAAAGCGACATCTAGTCAATATCCATGCCTTCTTTCAATTACATGCATCACAACCAATGCTTAAAACATAAATCTGTCTATGTGCATTCATATTTTGTTGCTTATGCCAAAACTTCCCCTAAAACCCTTTCTAAACCCCCCCCCCCCCCCATCTGAAGTCAACGAGTTAATTCCTTTAGGCTGCCGATCACATGCTCAAAAAAGATGCACATTTCGTCATCCTTCGCTTGCATGATAAATACAACCTGTGCAGTGTTTCTCTGCCAGGCGTTTGAAGAAAATAAACGTCAAGCAGAACAAGTCTCTTTGCATCGCAGATGGCAACAAACGTCCCAGTGGGCAGATGCCAGCCTGTGGACGTTATTCCAACCTGTGCAAGCGAGGCTGTAGCTGCTACAAACACCATTTGATCAGTATCTCCCCTTTTGCACCGGCTCGCATTGACAGCTCTGACAAACATCCCAGCAGGCCGATAACGGGATCGTTATATGGTAATGGCACGCTTGATACCACCCTGCTAGAAAGGAATTCAATGCATAAAGATTGAGACTCACCTTAAGTGCATGATTTGAGTTGTGATGTTGTTTTAGTCTGCAGGGTTTATCCAGGGAGCTGTTGGTCCTCCATCATTCTGTATGATTCGCAGCACATGCTCTGAAACGACAAGGGATGCATGTTGTCATGCCCTGAATTCCACGCAGAAGATGCTTGAATCCCTTCAGAACAGAGCTGCTTGCAGGCTGCTCAGACAGCTGGATCCTCAGCAATACAGACGTCGGATCACCAGGAGGGAATAACATGAAAAAAGGAGGAACGAGAGGGAGCTACTGCATGTTAGAGTAGAGATTTTGAAGCAAGAGAGATTTGATTCCTCACACTTACCATAAACACTCCCTCACCATCCCTGATGGAGAGCGAGGGATGATGCCGGAAGGAAGGAGGGGAGGGTGGCACGCACACACATACGTGCAGGCGTGTGCACATGCATACACACTAGGATCTGGCAGTTCTGCGGGATGCGTGAAGCCTGGCTTCTATCCTGGGTTGCCTTGTGGGAGAGACAGAGGAAAAGACAGCTACTGTAGCCGCCCGCTGGTCAATGCACTGCAACTGCATCTCAGTCCCACAGCATCACGTCATCATCCAGCCTATGCATTAAATAACAACCAACTACATACATGTGGGTTGTGTTACTCCACTCGTTGCATAGCTCTTGTTTATTTGGAAGTGATTCAGGATTCACACAGCATGCTGTTCCTTCCATATGGTTGCTGATTGAAACTGCATCATTGTGCATGGCTTAAATAATACTGCAGAACAACATAGTCCCACAGCATCACGTCATCATCCAGCCTATGCATTAAATAACAACCAACTACATACATGTGGGTTGTGTTACTCCACTCGTTGCATAGCTCTTGTTTATTTGGAAGTGATTCAGGATTCACACAGCATGCTGTTCCTTCCATGTGGTTGCTGATTGAAACTGCATCATTGTGCATGGCTTAAATAATACTGCAGAACAACATCATCATCATCATCATCATCCTAGTGTAGTGCTGTGATTTATCCTCCAGCCCTGGAAATGGCAACGGAGAGCTAAGACGGGAGAACAAAACATGAAATGACTGATGTTAAAGGTGCAGAGCTTCATTTCTAGGCCACTAGTGGCACTAAACAGAATTGAAAAAAATACTGTTTTGAAAGAAATTTTCCAAACATTCCTCCCACCTGCAGTTACGACAAAGTAGTAGTTCCGACAGCTTCATGTCACTGGTTGAGCAAGCAGTGCAATAAATCATCCAAGGAGGCCTATAATACCTGGAAAGAGATATCGGTTAGCACAGGGCTGTCCAAACTCGGTCCTGGAGGGCCGGTGTCCTGAAGAGTTTAGCGCCAACCCCAATTAAACACACCTGAACCAGCTAATCAAGCTCTTACTAGGCATACTACAAACTTAAAGGCAGGTGTGTTGAGGCAAGTTGGAGATAAACTCTGCAGGACACCGGCCCTCCAGGACCGAGTTTGGGCACCCCTGGGTTAGCATATTGCACTTTCCTGTCCATTTCACACTTTTAACTGAGA